TTTTGTCATTCATTCTAGATCCGGAAGAGAGTCGCGTTTGTGAGCGAGACGGGTGCGTCCATCACCGTCCATGGTCGGTACCACTGGCCGGAATGAGAGGGCGAACGTGAATGAAATCGGCCTTGATGCATTGTTGTGATTCCTCAAGTATTGCTGCTTCGACCGCCGAAACTAGTACTAGCAGCCATCGATGTAGCACTGAGCTAGACTCTCGGTAGCGATACGCCGAGATGCTGGACGTGGTGACTGGACATCCACTCGGTCTTGATTGAAGTGAAGTTTACAACTTACTCTACTGTAAACGTATTGGGCCCATCCTGCCAGTCCAACTCACCGAAATAAATCCAAAAAAAAAGAAAAAAAAAAGACTACTTGCCAGCCATTGAAGTTGATAGCCTGGTCGATCTGGTTCGACTGAGCGGAACCAGGACGACGGCGGTTCTGCGGTGTAAGAATAAATCTTCAATGTCGTCTCCTTCCAATGTGTCGACGATGACATATCGACTGGTTCTCACGAACGCCCCCTCCACAGTCCCGACCCTATCGTCACAGATGTCTCGCTTCATTTAGTCTAAGACAAGCCAACACCCTCAAACGGTCAAAAGTGTGCAGCGGGCATATCGAAGGTGCGCGAACAACGCCATCTCCGACGTCCTATTGGAAGCCACCCGAGGCTTCCACAACCCCTCTCAATCCTCCATCCCGTCGTTTGCTCGTAATCAGGCATCCCTACATATGCCAAAAGACCCTGATTGAGTTCCTGCCTGGTTTGTTTCACTGAGGCCTGGAACCGGAGCGATGAAAGGGTGGTTGGACAGGACAGGGTGACGAAAAAAAGGCGTCCGCGCCGGGTCATGTCCGTCCCGGCCGCGACCCAATCGCGGCAGAGCTCCGAGATCTTATGAATCACATCTCATCTACGTGTACGAAAGCAATGCATGCTACGCAGAATAAATCTACAAAATTTTTGCTTTCGTCTTACCACACACGGAAGCACGGAAATACACTTCCCGAGTACTACAGTGCCCGCATCCCGCATATCTTCTTCTCTCGATCTCGTCTGAGCCGTAAGCCGTCCCGTGGCAGGCCGTCTTGGGGTTATATGCAGTGCAGGCGCAATGCACGACGGGCTGAGCTGGGAAGCTGGAATGCTGACGCATGGAGGGTGGTGGACGCCTTGTCGGGTATCAACATCGTCCATCAAAATATGCCTTGTCTTGTCTTTGGTTGATGAGAATTAGCTGACTCTCCCATCCGACGACGGGAGATGCTTACCTGCTGCCTCTTACTCCGTACATGCTTGGGTGCTGAGATCGAGATCGAGATTGTACCTGGATCATTACCCATTATTTGTGGTGCGTGTGCGTTAATGCTGGAGGTATCGTCTGGCCTGACCTGCCCACCATTGCAGCGGAGGCAATCCGCTGTCGGGCAACATAACTGGCTCGCTTGAGACATCGAGTTTCTTCCGACATTCCATTGCAGAAAGAAGGAGGCCATTATGAGAGTCAATTCTCAAGCAGCGACAGACCTCCCCCTCCCTGTCTGGCAGAGAAACAGAAACACGGGGCATGAAAAAGTGAAGCTCACAAAAAAAGCAAGCAGATATCGTCAGATAGCCCAGCCGTCTTTTCTCCAGTCTTGCGAACTCTTACGGTGTCAATTATCGAGGCTGATTACTTTTCCCCGGATTGAAAAAGAGATGCTGGTGCCATCGCCCGCGTGCCCCCTTCATGTAGTGATCGGAATTTTAAAATCGTCCCATCACCCACTTGTCTTTTGCGATTATCGTTTTTGCGTTATTATCCTTAGCGTCCGCCCCAGATTAGTGCGGTCAGAAAACGTTCAAGCGCAGAGAACAGACGCTAGATCCCAGAAGCAGTGACCGACCTGGGGAGTCGGGCGATCTGTGTCTCTGGTGTCGTCTTATCGCCGCATCTGTCTTTGATCACTCTGCTTCGTAGCCGCATTTCGCAGCCGAAAAAGCCCAGGCTGGGGTTTGTGGCGGCCTGCGGAAGATGTGACGTATCTTGATCTGTATTGCTCCTCCCCAGGGTCACTGGGGATACGGACGGGGGGTGGTGGATGTCTCTCTTCAAAACGCCACTCTATCACAAACTGATCATCTTCTTGTTCTCCGCGAAGTACTTTAAACAAAGCAGACACACTCGGGATCATCGTGGACACTAGCATCGAATCCTCCCCGCCGTTCCTTGTCCCCTTTCCGATAGCTCCACGGATCAGACACGAGGGGACGAGAGGACGAAGGATGAGAAAACCTCGAAGAAAAAGCAAGACTGCACCTTTGACCGGTCCAACCGGTCCAGGCTTTATTGATTTTTCACACCTCGGATCTACCGCGTATCATTGCTTCTTTCCTTCACTTTTCTCACACTCCAGCACATCTCTACATTCCCTTGTCCCCTTTCCGAATCCGGCGTCTTTTTTCTTCTTCTCTCTTTTTTAGACACCTCGAGATGTTGCTGTCCGAATCGGGTTTGGGTTCACCTCTTGCACGCAAACGCATGACACCTAAACTTTTCTCTATTTTCTTCTCGGGTCTCACTCATCCTGGCACTATTTTTATTTCCTGCTCTCCGTCCCTCCTTTCGAGGATGCCGCGAATGAATTCATTTTTTTTTTATACTAATAGAGAATATTACTTTTAATTTTAAACGTATTAACATTTATTTTATTTTATTTATTTATTTCCTACTCTTTCCCGGCGTCTGCTCCCGAGCCCTCTTCTCTCAAGCGGAGGTTGAAGGGGCTGTTCTGGCTTGAGGATGACAAGCGCTCTCTCCAGTATCTCGAAGTAGGGGTTGAGTTGAAGGGTTACGCCGGGACAAAGGCATCCCAGATTTCTCGAAAAGTCAAGGACGTAGTCGGTAGGACCTCCTGAAAATATCTGATGAGAAAAGCACCAGAAAAAGAAATTGTGCGTTTATTTTATTTTATTTCTCTTCCCTTGCGTCCGTCGCATCACATTCGCATCGACGATCGAAAAAGACGTAATAAATGATACTGTAGCATCCGTGCCGGACAGTGGAAAGCCTCAACTGGCGATTCTCATCACGAGACCGCCGACTTTGCTTGTTCCCGGCCGACCGGTCAAGGACAAAGCATAGCGCAGAACTAGGGAGGCGGACAGCATCCTTGGAAATGGTCTAGCGGCTCAGAATCGATGTTAATACTTGCTAGGTCGCATGGAGCCGCAGACTAGTGCTCAGAGACAAGGTAAGGGAGAGGAGTCAGGCTTGCGGCTGTTCCTGGACCATCCCACATCCCACGTACGAAGGAACAGGTGAAAGGCACGACGGGAGCTGAAAGGGGAGTGTAATAGTGCAGCAGCACCGCCGAGCGGAGGCAATCTACGAGGGGTGTTCTATTGAGGCAACGGAACTAATGACTTCGTACTTCCTTCGTACTTCCTTCGTCGGCGGTGCTAGTGCCAATGCCAATGCCAATGCCAATGCACGCACCATCTTGGTATTTGATCTCATCAATTCCTTCATTCCCATTCCTCCGGAAGGGACTAATACGCTAGAATTTACCACGTCGGCCGCCAAGTGATTCCACATGGGCCGATGAGAGCAGCAAGGGGGGGTTGCGAGAATCCAAAGCAGCCACTCTTGTCTCCCTTTTTAGCAATACTTCCCCATTCGATGAGATGATGCCAGCAAAGCAAGGGGGGCGTAAACTTATGATTATATGAGAGAATCTGGGTTGCAACTTGCCGAATGGAGAACGGGGAGGGACGGGGGGGACGGGGGAAAGAAAAAGACAAAGGGTTCGAGAACTGCTTTCCGGTGCACACACCCAACCCACGTAGCTACACTAGAAAATGCTGGCTAGCGGCGCGGGCGACGGGCGACGAGGCCCGCAGCAACTGCAGGAAACGGCCGACGATGGAAACGGAAAGTCGCAATGTCAATCACCCGAAGGGAAGAGAAGATGGGCAAAAAGTAAAAAAAAAATCCCCCAAAAAACCTAGAGATGTCAAGGATTTACACGAGTATTATCATTAGAGTATGCTGCGTGCAGGTGTTTGTTCCTACTTCGTATGTATTCCTCCTTTGTACACTCGCACCATCAACACTCCAAAGGTCTTTGGACTAGTCTCTCATCTCACTATTCCAAGACTTCCAAGACTTCCAATACGACTCCATCTCTTCTCTCTCCCTTCCTTCCTTCCTTCCTTCCACCCCCGGTCTCAACTTTCCACCCCACCTCTACAACTACTGCGTACTTCGTACTTGGATGCCATCTGAGACCCCAGGTGGTGGTCTTTCTTGGAATAGTCGGTCACACCCTCTATTCCCACGCCCGGGCTGATGCTTCCCACCAAGATACCAAAGTGACGGTCTCCCGTCCAGGGCACGGGCTGAGCTGGATACGTTTACACCCGGAGGAATGGTGGGTGTGGACCGTTTTCTCCCCCCCTCCGATATTTTACTTTCTTTGCTTTTCTCATCCATGGGATTGTTGTTTGCCGCCCCAAGAAAAAGAAAATAAAAAGACAGGAATAAGAAAGAAGAAGAAAATAAAAAGACAGGAATAAGAAAGAAGAAGAAAAGAAAAAAATAAAATTCAAGAAAAACGTGGTGCGAAACAGAAACAGGGAGTGAATGTAGCCCTGCAGGAAGAGCTCCACAACTTGGTAGCGTGCGAAGCTGCCAAGGTGGGATGTGCAGCACGCCTGCACCTGGTGCGTCAGGGGGGGTGTGATCCAAACCCAGATATTATCGTGGGCACCTTTGGAGCCAGAGAACAAATATATAACCTGGCGTTTGCTGCTACCTCTCCCACGTCCTCGTCCCTTTCGTTTTCTTCCATAGAAGCTTCGTTTATATTCTAGGGCTCGCGCCATAAAAGTCGGCGGGAAGAAGATTTCTCGACACAGGGGACAATAATACCTTCGATCCTCCCTTTTCACATACCTCTGGTTTCTTTCTTTCGGTTTTTGATAAACTATGTCGTGCGCGGGGCCTTCGCTCACGATGATCAACATGGACATTGACGATTCGAAATACCTCCTACAACTCGCTCGTGCCGGAGGAGTGAGACTGCCTCCGGGCCCTGGGGACTGGAGCGTTCATGTGAAACCGCCCACTTCGAGTACGTCTCCCTCTTCTTTACCTCTTTCTTCCCAAAGTTTCCCTCGGATGATCCCCACTAACTAAAAGCGATTCACAGACCGCGACACCCCCGAGAATGGCGAACAATTCATGTATTTTACTCAACACTCCCAGCTCGCGCAACCGCCTACTCAATCAGCCGTCCACGAAACCGGTCCTCCCCAGCAACAACCCACGCCGCCTTGGACCTCTCCCAGCTCCTACCCCGCGAACGCCGCCCGCGGTCCTCCGACCCCTCAACACTACTCCGGTCCTGCACCTCCGTCGCCGGCACACCACCTTCCGCCTCAAGCCGGCGGCAGCCCACACACCCGCGTTAACCACCAGCACGCTCACCACGCCACCCATTCCTACAGCCGTCCGGGCAACCGACCTCACCACTCAGACGATGTACCTCCCAACTCACAAGCGATGGCTGCACGACAGGAAGAGGCGCGCAGGAGAAGAGCGGCGGGTGGTATGCCGGTTTCGCCTTCTTCCATGAACGGTTCCCCACGAGAACCGATGGGCTACTCCCCGAATTCCAGAGCGGCCACGGCAAGGCCTCCGCCGAACGAGAGGACTGAAGAGCCGAGTCGGAGACCGGTTCGGGCGACGAGGCAACCAGAGTCTTGGGAGTGGTATTATTATGGAGAGGTGCCGCTGAACTCACGATGACAATGGCTGGGGCAGACTTTTCTTCTCTTTTATTTTTTCTTCTTCGTTTCCCCTTTCTTTTTTAGCTGGGTTTGAAATATATTTTTTATGTCTTATGAATCTGGGAGGGCATACGGAATCATTGGACAGGGCATTTTGGGATCATTTTGGGATCAGGAATTTCTAGTTGTAGGGTCAATTCGGGTCATGAATATCTTGTATTTCTTGGGGCATTTTTATTCTAGATTATTGTGATCATCTTTTCATTTCCCATTTCCATTTCCATTTCCATTTCCTTCTCTATCCTCTTACGACTGGGTTCGGCTTCATTGGGTGGGGAGTTTTCCATTTATTCTTTTGCTCTTCTGAACCTCTCATCTCGACCATCAAATTCCGTTCTATATTGACTTCATTCTCATCTCGATTCTCCGATCTTCGGCATGATCGCCGAGACTTGGGACTTACAAGTAGACCCACCCTTCTTTAGACTGCCGCGTGTATCAATTTTATGGAATACTTCAATGCTTGTTGTTGATTGACTCAAGTGGACGAGACACACCGCGAGTTTCTCGAAGGTGGCACATTACACGTGTCGTGTGCGCTTTCAGACCATGGAAAACAAACCCGTCTCTAAGACGAGCTGCGTGGAAAACTCAAATCCAATAAGATCAATGTCTCCGACAAAAATCTGACCGTTGAGCCTCAACCCCCCTGACAACAAGTGCATTTGGTACATTTGCAGATCGCTTTCTGAGCCTCAAGAACAGCCGCTGGCTCGTCTTGCATCGGCGATTGTTGTTCAGGATCGACGGGCGGGACGCTGGACCCGGCGTTCTGGGTTCGTACTTTGTTTGTCGCGGTGTGCTTCAGTGGAGTATTGTCTCGTGAGCCACCAGCCGCTTCCGGCAGGGGCACGCGAGACTTCGTTTGCCATCGCTGCAAGAACCTGCATGTGGCAATTTCAACCGGTCAGGACTCGTTGTCGCGGCGAGGGGAGTCTTGGACTGCCCTTGTTCACTTGCTCAAGAATCAGTCAGCCGGCTGCGCTGGGGATAGCCGCCTCTGCCGCCAGAATTGAACATCATGAACTTTGATTTCACCGGCCTGGCGCTGTGCCACCAGCCCTTAGCTCCCCCTGGGATGGAGCATGCTCCCAAATCACCCACAGTCGAGGGAGAGCACCAGGGCCCGTAAGCCTGTGCTTAATGCCGGCCCCTGCTGCATATGTAGCACGCAGACACACAGCACACGCATCCAGGGTTGATGGATCTGGTCTCAATGCACGAATGCACATCTGTCCCAACGTAAATTGAGTTGCTCGACGCAGTCTCTTCGCTGTTCTTCCCCTTAATTCGTCCGTCCGTTTGTGCTCTTTCCTTTTCCCCTGCTTCTTATTGCTTTTTTGCACACAAACGTGCAGACGACAAAATTCTCGCACGAGACATTGATTTAAAAATTTTAACATCATCTCCCCTAAATCCTCACCGCTTCTATGACGATCCTATCCGTATCCAGTTTCCTTTTTCGGGGAAGCTGGGCCGGAAACATGTTGTCGGGAAGCCGCCTCCTACTCGGTATGCACACTTGATTGTCGCATTTCCGACGCTAAGGGGAATACTTCGTAATGAGAGAGATTTTCATTAAATCCGACGGCAGAAAGAAGAAGCTTTCTAAGCCATCCCAGCACAACGGTCGGATAGGGGACGGCACGGGCATGGACAGGGGCAGGGATACGGAATGAGGTCATGATGTCTGACCGGTCGGGTTTCCCTTGTCCCCCGTGCGATCTAGGCCTGCTATGAGGAAATAGGTTTACGTTATTTGTTTCTTCGTTCGACGACTTCGCTGTGGACTATGAGTGTTATTCTCGTCCGTCCGTCAATGTTTTGCGTCGCCCCGCTGCTTGAGGCTCAGCTCTTGTCTGCAATCATGAATACAGCACAGCGTGGACTGGTTCCCAAGGGGATGCAAAAGCGGCGATAGCGTTAACGACCTTCGAACAAGGCGAGGCAGAATCGATTCAGCGAATATGCCACGTGTGTCTTCCAAAGTCATGCTTTGACGCCAGGCGGGTTGCAACCTCTGCCCACTTGTCTCTGTCATGGGATGTTGTTCACCCATGTTAAAGCCACTAATATCTGCAAGGGAGTCAGTCCAGGCCCGAGGGTTGGGACGAATCGGGGTCCATATTGCTTCTTGACCGCGCTGTCCTTGCCCTTGCCGTGTTTGTTTGCGGTCTTCCTTGCCTGTCTCGCGGCGATTTATATTACTTTTTCTTCCACATTATGTTGGTGTAATTGTGACGGGGTCCTTCAGACCCGCCTTTCCACTTCACCGGTGTAGGCGAGGGCAATCTATCTCTTTGGCCATCAGAATGAAGAAATAAGGTGTGGCCAACTTGCTTGTTCATCTGGGACCAACGACTAGAATATTCTGGAGCGGGAAACAAGAAAGGGACGGACCACTACCACGAAGATACCGTTCCATCAAGGGGGGGCTGAATCACATAAGCTTTGAAGGGAGGTTATTGTGTTAGCTCGTTCTTGGTTGGAAAACCTGCGACTTGGAAGTACGGTTCAGCGAGATTTGGATATCAATGCCTTGCATATACCGAAATTACCCGCGATGGGTTATACCAGCTACTTGAAGGAAGTTTGCTGCGGCTGGGCCACATGCGTCTCATCTCCGTGCAAAGTGTTGACAAATACCTTCGCACAGAGTCAGATACGCTATCCAGAGACGAGACACCGCACTCCCCTTGACTCATGTATGCGCAGGCCGGACCCTGTGCCACACTCCCAACGTTTCGGCGAGACCCCTTTGCGCCATTATGCTCGCCCACCCCTCACATAATGTTGATGCCCCAGCTATTCGGCGACAGTTCAGCGTCGTGTCTTGTCTTCCTCGGTCCCGCTGTTGGGATATCTCGCGAGAGGTTCCCAACGAAGTCTACTCACAAGCCGTATTGACCATTCTTACCTCCTCGTCGGAGCTGCAGAGCGTAGACCAGAATTCGAAATCATCTTAAGCGCTTCATTCATGTCAACAGGAACGAGAGATGGCGTTCTGGCAAGCACTTGCCACTGATATCCCATTTCAAAAGCCTCATCCCACGACTCGAACGTAATGTGACCACATCTCTAGCCGAAGTCACCACCCCTTACCGTTCTAGTCCTTATTTGCAGTTTTTCATGTACATCTAGCCTTTATCAAGGCTCACACTGACTCCACCACGGAAAATACTCTTCGTTTATGTAAAAGGCCTGGCCCCTGCGGAAGTTGGTGGCGCCCCCTCTACAGTTTGATCCAATCTCGAAGATTGAGCATGACGCACCGCGGAGGGAAAGCTAGTCGTTAGACTCGGGAATTTCTACTTTCCCCCTCGAGAATCCATCATATCATCCAATTCCGAGAGGCCTGATTGTGCACTGAGGTTTCCCCAAGTGGCCCTTTCCTCTATTCGATGGACAGCCAGCAAAATCATCCTGAGTAGCAGTGGGAAGAAAATAGAACCCAAGATGTCTCTTGGTCGGCTATTCGGTGAGGAGCCGTTGTGGACACCGAGAGGCATGTAGAGTTTTACAACATCCTCCGGCTCAGACGCCCCGTGTGGATGCGTAAAGCAGTATGAAAGGGAGTGAGGCATGCGTGGGGCTGACCCCGTCTTCATAGACAGTGAAGACAAGGAGGAGGTTTGCGGGCGTGGTTTGTGAAGGGGCGGTCATAGCAAAGACGCCGAGGTCAGCCTTCGTCAACTGAAACTTGGTGACCCAAAGTGTTCGAGGTCCTCACGCCGCACATATTTGGAATGGCGACGGCAGTGGTGAGTACCTCTATCACTCAGCTCCCCGCTTCCCCTCCCTTCCCTTACATGCTCAGTGAGACAGACCGACCTCTTCCTGTACCTCTCCCATCTTACTTTATTGGCGGGACGAGCTGGAACTACCGAGGTGAATGGCATCGCATAGCTCAATAGCCAACTTCACCCATACAACCTCCACACCGCTTGCCAATATAGGATCCTATTGCAGAGAGGGAGGCTCGTTGTTTGGAAGACGCCCGCGAGAAGTTAGTCAATTTGATACTCCGGAAGTTATGCTAGAAGAATATGCGCTGGGAAATGAGCCTGTAGGTTCTCCTGTTTATATATATACACTTGCCAACGGAGGTAAAAGTAGGCAAAGAGAACTGCACATTGTTCCCGTCCAGTCTAGTTAAGTGAATCTCCAAACAGTACCCCGCCGATTTATATATGCGTTCTCTTCGTTATGTGAGACTAACCCATAGCTTTCCGAGAGCTAGCTGAAGAGGGAGAAAACCAGTCCACGTAGATGTGAATCATTCTGTACAATGCCAATTCCGAGCTGACACCTTCTGACTCTTATCAGCCTCCTTTTCCAAAAGAAATCTCTAGCGCTTCTCGGACAGTGAGCGTCTTGAGATCTGGAAACGCCTTGTTGAGGTTTGGCTCCGCCGGCAAGTCCATGTCCCCATCAACAATCAAAGTTCCAATGAATGCAAGCATCCGCCCCATGGATAACTGATCTTCAACTTCCAGCGCTTGAAGTAGCCCTCGTGCGGCGGGAACAAACGTGCATCCCCCTTGAGCCAAATTCTCAGCATCGTTAGTGTGCTTCTCAAACTCGACACCCTTAACCTCCTCAGCGAGGCGAACAAAGTCGTTTATCGTCAGTCGGTCTCCGACGAGGAAGTATTGCTTTTCCCAACGAGGTAACCCAAGAACCGCCACCACGAATCGCGCAATATCTCGAGAATGCGTCACGACCAATGGGGCATTGCCGTCCCCAGGAATCACGGCATAGTTGTTCTCGACGTCAACCCACGTGGGCACGTTGACCGCAAAGGCGGATTTGATGTGTGGCGCAAACCAGTAATCGAGGAAGATGCCGTTCGAAATGCGTGTATACTCGAGGTTGGATTCCTCAAGAAGATCCGCAGCTTTGAGTTTCCAGGCATATAGGGGAAGACCTTTGATGAATCTGCCAAGTTTGTGAGAAGCCAAGACCCGATGATCAGAAGCGAAATACCTACTTCTGCGTATAATTTGCGCCGAATTCACTTGGCATGAAGCGCTTCGTGTGTTGTGACCGTATAGCAGCCTCGATGAGATTCATCTGGGCCCGTCCACTCGCGTCACTCTGAAGAGAAAGGGCGGAGATGACGGTATGAATTTCATGCACGTCAAGCGTTTCTGCCAAGTTTCGAATGTCCGAGTAGTCCACCGTAATCACCCTTGGGTCATCACTCTCCGTGCGGCTCAAGATGACACATTTGTGCGACCCATCTGCGTGGAGCGCAGCTACAATAGCGCTGCCAATGCTTCTCGAACCTCCGGCAATGGCAACGTTGACCATCTTGTGGGGGCAGACTGCGGCTATGGATGCGCGTGAAGGAGTGAATTAGGTTCAGCGGGACAGCTTGAGACCTGGTTGGGATGTTGGCCTGGGCTGGCGGTATCACTTATCAATGCCCGGCGAACAAGGTCGCATAAATACACGAACCTGCTTGCGTCGGAGTTCTATGAATTCCCGCACCCGAAATCCGGTATCCACAAAGGCATTTAACTGTCCAAGGCTATATTTGGCCGGTTAATGTTGGCGAAAGCGCATTGCCGTGTTCTTATATTAACGTTCCGGCGGGTCTGTCCTTGGCGTCCCCTAATACGAAATGGCAACAGGACAACGCTTTCGTGAATTAAACTTGCGCTAGGCATCCACTTCCACTTCCTGCTATACAGTTGCACACCTACGAGGCATAATTACCTACGGTTATACTTGGCGAACTTTACTTTCCGTGATGCGGGAAGGTACCGCTGGGGCGACAACTTCGTCTTTTGTTTTGCTTTCTAACGACTTTCCGACCTGACGCCGTCGAATGTTGAAGAACATGCAAAGCCTGAGAATCGGGCTCATTGTTTCTCGAGTAAGTTAAACGGAAAGGAAGATCCCGTCTAGAATGCGGGTGACCCCTTCCTCCGCTTGGCTTCTCATCACCAGCCCAACCTCAGGAGGCGCGTAGCAGAAACAGAATGGGCATTTGAGGTTGCTATAAAACCAAGCCACCCCAGCCTAGTTTTTCCTCGTCCCAACTTTCCCAGGTTATATATCTAGCCTTGAGAACCTTGGGGCGCACAATACCGCGGTATCCAAAATCCCAAACCAACCATGCAGGTGATTCTACCTTTACCTGAGGGCGCTGCTGGAGTCATGCAATGAGACGGGGTCACCCCTGCGATACGTAGCCTCAAGTGAAGAGACATGGTTAGTAACCACCATGCAAGAGAGTGAGTGTGATAGTTAGTCAAGAAGGAGGATAGTGAGGCCGGGGCTGTTTTTACTTCCCGGTTTATTACAACCAGCAATGTCCCTGCGATGCAGGCGTCCTTCATATACGACCTCATGAACTATTCCTGCTTGGGCGGTCAGACTGGGCTCTCAGAATGCTAGGACAACAACGAATGCAGCCTTCAGAAGAATATACTTCAGCCTCACGAATAACCCCTTTGCAAATGGCAATCTTTCTTCCTCATGAAGAAATCAAGGATGCCGTGGACATGATCTTGGACAGCGGAATAACTGCTGATGTGTCTAGCGGAGAAATCAGATGGGACACACACGACATTGATCTAGATGGTACCGCCTTGGAATGGGCTGTTGGCACGCGTAACAGGCCACTGGTCTCAATGCCTTATTCCACATTCTTCGCCAGAGATTCTGACCAAATGTCTTGGACTCGCGACGGAGAGATTCTTCTGGGACATTGCCGAGGAACTAATCCCGCACCTCTCTGAACTTCCTCCTATGAAGCTTCCAGACCTTTTCTCGGGCCATTCTTCCCATATATCGCCCATGGCCCTGATCTTGGGAGTGCAATTGAGAAGACGGTTCAGCTATGCAGAACGCACAAGATGATCGGAAGCTATGGGGACGACATCTCTCACCTCCAATCAATCGCTTATGGGGCAATTACGCTGAATAATATTCGCTTGCTTGAAGTGGTCTTATCCGTCTTGGCACCGGATGAAGTGAAAGAAAACCCCGATGCTTTTGGACCTCCAGCGATGGCTACGGTGATTGGGAGGGTGGAGTCTAACTCGGCCTTACGGCCGGTCTTGGACACATTTCTCGACTTTTACAGCCCTGAGGAGCTGGACCAAACAGAATTCTTCCCCGAAGACAATTTTCTGTCATATGCGGTGAAGAGAGGGTCTATGTTCTCTGTGAAGAAGCTTCTCGAGAGGGGCGCCAACGTCAATGCCATTCCAGAGAGCGAAGTTGCCGGCAAATCAGTGCTACACCATTGGATCGACTCGAATGTCGAGGCGCCAGAGATGGGGAGGCTACTTCTCAAAGCGGGCGCGGATATGGCGATGGGACGAGCTTCAGATAGGATGACCGTATCCGAAAGGTTGTTATTCGAACATAACCCTTCAACTCTGTGGGCTCTAAAGATTCTTTTGGATTCTGAGGAGGAGGTTGAAGACTTTTGGGAGATTATACACAAAGTGTGCGATTACACGGCTTCCGCGCCCGTCTACACTAGTCCGAACTCGGCTTTCTGGGCTGTCGGTCGACTGTAGGAGTGTTTAGCATCCCGTCATGCGGCGAAACAAATCAACACACCCGACCGAAAGGGAGGCACCCTCCTTCAGAAAGCAGCTTTTAGCCTCTCCCACGACTGCGTTAGACTGTTACTAGACGCTGGTGCAGATGCTAGCATTCCTTTCTCTCCAGAACCAGGCAAAACCTCAGCTTATTTCCCGCTCCAAGTCGCCTGCCTTCGAGGGTGGCTTTGAGGCCAAGGGCTCGCGAACGGAAACTTTCAATGGCGAGGTGAAGATGTTGTCTTTAGGGCCGAGGCCATGTTCAAAGACACGCTAGGTTTAGTTAGGGACCTCGCTCAGTAGCATAGAAGTAACGGCGATGGGCTCTTCGAGGGAGTGTCAGAATGCCATCTGGCCCACGCAATATATGACAAGCCGTACATGGAACGGCTGCTTCAGGAGGGGCATGATAACCGAGTGCTTTGCCACTGGCCGGACTCACAGATGCAGAAGTCGCTTGTGGATCTTTTTAATGGGCAGGAAGATGCCCGCATGCTTCGTAGGGCATTTCCGGATTTTATCTTTGAGGCTTGAACGGACTCGGAGAGGAGACAGTCTGCGTTGGCAGTATCTCGATATGCGGTCCTGGAGCCTTCCGAGGGCTTAAGCAAGCCAATGAAATTCAAGCCGAGCCCGAGCTTATCTCGAAGAAACGCGTGACGCCGTGACGATCTCCTTCTCGTCTACCCTCATCCGTCGTCCATCATGAAACAAGCCGACTTTTGATTGTTCCCTCGGTTCCAAGTTTCACACAATCCATGTTCAAATAAAGGGAATTCGCGTGCAACTGAACCGCGATGTCTCCTGCTGATGAGGGCAATAATACGCATGAATTCAAGGGACAGGATGGGCTTTCTCTCATAAGGACCCGAGCAAGCCCGGGCAGGATGTTTGACCGTCCCAGCCAGGTGAGAAGTCTCAATTACCCGTTGCAGGCTGCCTACGACGGGCTTTTAAGGTTAAGGTCACTCTCCCATACTACGAATGCTCAGCGCGAGCTCGAAGATTGGGAGCCCCAAACAAAACCCCGAAATAACCGATTTATCCATGGCCTCGCGACACCAACTCCGACAACCCACCCCAGTCATGATTGGATCTCGCGTATAGTTTCTTACGTGTTATTTCCCTCCTCTCTCACCTCGTCTCCGACCATGTGCTCTTAAAATTTCCTAGACCTGCACCGTCGCGCTTAAATCGCGGCGCATCGAAATGTCCTACCGACGAAGATTCGTCTCCCTTCTTCTCCTCGTCTTCGCATTCCTCCTATACCTCCGGGTCCCGAGACGGGCAGCATGGGATACCCGTGGCCCTGCGGAGATTTTCAACCAAACACTTGGCGTAAGTCCCCTGAGGCCGCATCTTGGCCTTCTCCTGCCGTCCCTTGGCAGCGGGTCTCCCCCCTAGTTTTTTTCCTATCACGGCCAATGCCAGCGCAAAGAAACAGAATAAAAAGATGGATCTACGCTAATTGATCTTGGCGAGGAAACACAGTTCCAGGAAATCTTCGTCGTGAACCTACCCGAGCGGACGGACCGGCGCGATGCGATGACATTGATGGCGACGGTGACGGGGATCAAATTGACGTTTGTGGACGGCGTGAGGGGTGCGGATGTGCTTGAGAAAGCTCTGCCCCCGGGACAAAGGAATAAGAACATACAGTCAATGGGGGCGATTGGCAGCTGGAGGGCACACATGAATGTTTTGCAAAGGTTGATATGCCCGGTGCGCCACGCAATGTTCAATGCCGTGATGACGACCGTAATTTGCAAAAAAGATATGCGAAAACCCCTTTGGAGGCTAACTACTGGGCAACGCCTTGGTTGCCTTCATCTCCTCAAGGATCGTACGGGAAAACATCACGAGCGCGCTTATACTGGAAGACGACCTCGATTGGGACGTACGCATCAAAACCCAGCTTCAGAAATTGGCCGCAGCTTCGCAAAAGTTCACGCAGCCCCTACACGGCGATGCGCATAGATTCCTGCCGAGCCTATACACACCCAATCCCCAGCTGCGGGAACAAGGACTTCCAGGTCTGAGTATCAGCGATGCCCCGTTGACGACACGACCGAAAGTCTCACCATATGGCGACGACTGGGACGTCTTATGGCTAGGCCACACGGGAGGCGAGCTTCCATCAGACTATCAATCCCTAAAAGCAAATGCCGAAATTCCTCCCTCTTCATTACTTACACTCTTAATCACTAACGAAGAGACTATACCCGCGCCACGACATCTGAAACGTCACCCCTGGGCGAAAAAGATAGAAAATTTCGCCTCGTTATTTCCGCCGTATACTCGTGTAGTCCACGAAGCCCGAGGAAATGGCGGAGTGCAAGCCTATGCCGTGAGCCAACGGGGAGCGCGTCGGCTACTCCACCAATTCGGTGTAGAGAGGTTGACTGATATGTGGGATATCTCATTGCGAGATTTTTGCGAGGGGGCTTTTACGGGAAAGGCAGAAGGAGAGGAGAAGCCCATGTGCATTACGACAAATCCGCCAATGATGGTGCAATATTGGGCCGGAGGGGATAGCGATATTGGGAATATCGGAGGGGGGTACTTTCGTAAGAAAGGGTCGATCATGGTAAGGCATAGTGCTCGGCTCAACTTGGACAGATTACTGGCGAGACCTGCTGGAGTGGCTGTGGACGATGTAACTGGGCTTGTAGATCAGTGGCCGGATGATGGGCCGGGTCCTTGGTAAGGACTGAGGAGCTAGATGTCGTCGAGGTGAATTTCATGAGTCCA